CTAGAACGACATGACAGTTATTGAAAAACGCAAGATAACATTGTTGAACTGCTACAACGTTTCATACAACGTGCTATGAAAACACTCGATATCTAAGCCTGGTCGTTGAAAGGTCGGCACTTACACGAGGGACAGTACTTCAGAGGAATACTTAAAACGTGTCTAGGGGGCACTAGCGCGGACTCTAATACCATGCTGGTATGTGACAAAAAACGACAGACTTTTACAAACCCGTTAATGCATTTTTTCTAGGACCACCGGTTTGCACAATTTTGATTAGGAATACCTTCAGAAAAGTTACATCTGGTGGTTACTCCGTGTGCAGTCGAGAAGTCGGCGAATACCCACCTACCTGGAGGTGCCGAAGAACAACACAATATTTTCCTCCTTATGACGGCCTTCATCCTATTTAAGGTGCTATTATTAGTCGTAATTGGTTATAGTTTTAGTCCTGGTGTTATAATTATAATTCCAGTGAGCTCAGAAGCATAGCATAGGCTGCAGCCTGTGGCTGGCATGACAGGTTAGCCTATGATGGTAGCCACAGTCTCAAAAAGGCCATGAAATATTGCGACTCACTAGGCTAAAAATGTTAAGGTGGGATCCCACCCACCTTCTCGAGGAGGACCACCGTGGCAAGAAAAGCTTCTTGTACGGGCGTACGCGGTCTATGTATACGTGTGAGTGCACAATCAGAGACCATGATGAGAGACCCAGCGGATCATGAATTCTACGGAACCCCTCCTAAATTTTTATCGCGAAAGGTGTACATGTGTATGTACGGCGTTATGTCATAGAAAATGCCCGCGAAACAAAAGCATGCAATTATCTCAGTCATTGAGCAATAGGGGGAACAGAAAGAGAAAATTTAGTGGTCAAGAGTTAGACTTGCCTACAAAAAGTGAGTGATTCGTAACGAAACGGCCACGCCGTTAGTAAAAGGAAGCAGAAGCAGGCCCAGAAAGAACCTGTGACTTTCTAGAATTAACTGCGGATAATAATCGCCTCGTAAAACAAGAGGTCGTGTTCCTCCATTAGTGGCAAAAGATGGTTACTCAGTTACCTGAGTTAACTTTTACCTATTCCTTGACGTGTGTGCGTTGACTGAAATCCATATCGACCATTTCAAAGGCTGCGGTGGGTGTTTATGGAAAATATTAGCAACGTATTTGTCCGATAAGAGAAGAGGTCGTAAGAACTGTAGCTCTTGGCACACGTCTTAAAACGGCGTCAGCAATCCTACCCACTCCCGTCATCAGTTGGTTGTGTTATTCGGGCAGTCCATTTGATAGAGATCAACGCTGGTATTGGGAAATTCATTCTCGCGACGCGTTAGCGTATACACGACGATAATAAATATATATGTAGCTGAGTCTATAACGG